GCATCTTTCTCACATTAAAGAAAATGTTGAAGATAAGGTAGGTTTTTCATAGATATTTTGTATAATTATTTATTAGAAACATAATTAATGAAGAATCTACTATGACTTATTTGGCTGTATGTGCACTCCATTTCCTAAAATATATATTTTGTGGTTGCAGTTGGAGCTGAGAAGAAAACAGTTCCATGTTCTTCTGAGCACCATTCATGAACTTCAGCAAACCCTGGAAAGTATGTGGTGTTATATATGGGTGCCATGTGTAATTGGGCATGGTTTTGGGAAGGGTCTGTGCCAGGAGAGTGGAAGCAAGGATACTTTCAGCAGCAGGATAGCAACGTGCAGTAGGGTTTGGTATCCTCTCACAGAGGCAGCGTTTTTTCCAGCAGCTGTCCAGAGCCTGAGTCTGCTCAGACTTATCTCTAGCCAGCAGATTTCTTTAAAAAATGGAAATTAAGAATGGCAAATTGCATATCTTTTTTTTTATGGGTGACAGAAAAATGTTCTTGTACATAGTTTCCAACCTTATTTGTGTGATCCCTATTTCAATAGTATTGAACGTGTTATTGCCATCATATTTGAGCTCTTACTAAAAAGAATTTGGAGTGTAGAAAAGCTGAATGACTTACTCCTGCAGGAAGTCTGAAGCAGAGGAGGGACTAAAACTAAAGTTAAATTCAAGAATTTAATCAGTAAATTCATCTTTTATCATACAAATACTTAATGCTTTCAAATCAGTGCCTACTTTTCATGCTCAAATAGAGATAATACTGCTTTAAACATTATTTGTTGGATATTTGCCCTGTCTTCCAAAGACAGAATAATGGGTATAGTCTGTGCGCGTGACCCGATTAACGTACATAGACAGCTATAAGAGCAGACTTTCCTTCTCTAAGGCCCTTTAGACCTTGCTAAGCAGAGTGAACTGTTAATCCCTAGGTGCACTTTAGCAGAAGGTTATTGTTATTAAGCATAATAGTGTTACAAATACTTCCCTAAGTCTCTAAAATACTCTTCTGTAAGAATGTCTAGTTTACCTTTTTTTTGTTTGAATTCAGCATTTTTACAGTGAGGTATTCAATTACAGATTTAAGACAATCAATGTAAAATATTTAAGTGTGACCCAACTCAGTAATATAGCTTGTAAATGTAACCGTACCATGTTTCACTAACAGTAATGTTCAATTGTAGATGATGAAAAACTTTCAGAAGCTGAAGAATCTCAAGAAACTCAGATGGAAACAGAGACCAAGCAGTAGATGTACCATACACTTAATGCAGATTGTCCAGATGTCTTTACTTTGTGTTGAAACCAACAGTAAAAGAGCAAGAGCTGAAAAAAATGGAGTTTTCAGCTGTTTCTGTGAATTTGACCAGTGTAGGAATTCCGATTAATATTTTTATACAAAAATACTTGTTTTGTGCTCTAGGGAGAACATTTTCCAATCTGTGTAGTAAGTACTTTGTGCTAATCCAATAACTTTGTAATACAAGACAAGAAAGATGTTCTTGGCTTATAAAAGGTGAATCTTCTGTGCAGTTCTTGTAAACTGTTTACAAACATTGTCAATAAAAGGCATTTACAGACAGTTTCCTATTTTAAAGTGGACATTGAACCTAACTATTAAGGACTCCTTTTCTTACTTGATGTTGCACCCAACACTTCCTTCCTTGAGTCCTAACTTCCATACCCTAGTCCAGATGTGACTTAAAACTGAACCAAGTAGAGACTGAAGCTTTCAAAGTAGCTGCTGTCATACTCGTTTTAAAACTTACTTTTGACGCTTACTAACCTAATTCTGTACAATTTATTTTACATTAATATTTTTCAAGGGCTCTAAACTAACAAAATCAATTCCATGCTATCTTTATCTTTTGCCTAAAGATGATACAAAGAACTCCAGACCATGATCTGTGCTGTACTGTATGCAACCACATTTAAAGTCACATTTTAAAATTACACATTTTAAATTGCAATATAATAGCTCTCTTCCTGTAGAATCAGGAATCTAATAGCAATACCGTGGATAATCTGTTTCTAGAATGCATGTGAGTTGTCTCTTAAAATAATCATAGTTCATAAAACAGACGATGAAAACTTTTTTTATGGTGACAGCCCTGACCAGTAGAGGTACAGTCATAATGACACCAAGTCTTGGGTACTTTTGTTAGGAGTGAGACTGGAGTAAGTCCCCATGGGCTGTTCTGTAACCTGCTGAGCGCCCTGCTGGGAGGTAGGAAATGCAGGTCTCAACCTTCCCGAGAGGCGACTGTGCTCCAAGCTTTTGTGAGGGGGGAACCAAGGGCAGGGGTAGGTCGTGTCAGTACCTGTTAGGCATGTTCTCAAAACACCTGTTAAATCAGCCCTCCAGGGGCTGGGTAAAAGAACATCCCATTTCAGATCTCATTCAGGCTGAGTCATCAGCATAAGTGGTTGAAGTAAAAATAACAGTATGAAATAGAATGGAGCCTCGCTCTCAGACTAGGTGACAGCTGAGGGGGATTTCCAGAATTGCAGCTTTGGACTAAATGCTATATAATTCCCACTCTCAGTGGCTGTGGATCTATGTGCATCAGGCTGAGTGGACATATCCAAGCTTGTTGTCCTTGCATTCCAGGTTTGCTAAAGGCAAGCCAGCTGAACAAGAAGTCATGCAACTGCAGTAGCCCAGTGCAGCGCTGCACTAATCAGCAGTCAGAAATCACAGAGGATGCTCAGGTTTGCCTGACAGGCTGTGCAGACATGTAGTCCTTCTTGTGCACTTACCAAGTTTTGCAGCTGGAGGGAAGTGGAGGGTGGAAACAAGCAAACAAAAAGGATTTCATATGAGAAATACGCTGTCAAGAAGTATTTACTACTCTGTCGTTAGGAGGGAGAAAAAAAAACAGTGACTAGTAAAATACTCTGTAAAGCAGCAGTGCTAAATTATTGCTAAATCAGGGAGGAGTCACTTTCATGAATGTATGAATTACAAGGATTGTAAATGTCAGTCTCAAGACAGTTTTGAAGCTTATTAAGGCCCATATTTTTTTGGTGTGGCTGAAAGGTCCTCTGTGTAACCACTTGGAGCCTTTCTTGCTACAGAGGTGGGGGAAGTTCAGCAGCTAAAACTGGTCTCAGGAACAGCAGGGGAATAGACAGCTCCCATTTTCCATTTGTTTTTTTACATAGCTCTTGGGAAATTGCTTAGATGCCTGAAGTATCTTGCCTAGCAATTTATACTCCTCTGTATAGAACCAGAAACATGCCCATTTGTCCTTCTTGCTAGAAATACATATATGAAATCAGAAAGCACACAGAAGCGCAGCAATACAAACGGATGGCTAAGGAATATATTCTAGTTTGAATTATAGTGATGCAAACCTGAAAAGATCATTGCCCGAGAAAATCACCTCGCCCTAGTGTGATGTAGCAGCAAGAGGGTGGTGTCACCGTACTGCCCTGGAAAGCAACCAGAAGAACATGACACAAGAAACCACAAGAATATGACATCCATTCATTGCAATTCCACATCAACACAATGCTTGAAATCTTTGCTCCTGTTTTTTTTTTTCCAGTATCTGTGTCTCTAATCTCTTGAGCATTCGATTTGAACCAGAAGAGGAACAATACACCACTATGTTTGGCTCAGATCTTTCACAGAAGCAACCCTAATGCTGGACAAGATTTAACCTGTTCTGCTAACCAGGTGCACGTTCCAGGCTCTAATCCGCCCTGCGTCTTCTCCAAAGAGATACTTGCACCTCCTTCACCCCGGCTGGAAACCTGCCCCGCTGAGATGTTGCTTCCCTGCACGACTAAACGAACACGCACAAAAATCCTGCACCGTAAACTGAGCCTCACAACCACCACGCTATCCAAATAAACCATCTTCCTGATGTTAGCATCTGCCCCGTTCCTGAGCTTAATGCCATTGCCGTGCAGATGTAAAATGTCAAGCAGAATGAGAGATGCTTAAGTGGTGAGAGGATGTTTTTTATGCTGGGGTTTGTTTTTCTGTCCTCTCCAAACAATGGGGAGGTAAAAGGAGAATGGAACAGCTGGCAGAATTGGTAATTTGGGTGGAATCTCAGATTTAGTGAACGCCACAGAAGGAAGATGGTAGGGGAGAAAGAGGGTCACAGGGACACATTGCCAAGTGCCACGGTCTCTCTGAAACCATGGTAAATGTGCAGATTGCTGCTGCTAATGAAGAACTTTGGAAAAATGTAGCCCAAAGATTTGTGAGATAGAAATCACTAATAATTTTAGATATTTGTGGTACAAGTTTGCCAGCTGTCACAACTGTTACCATCCTTTCCCCCCATTCTCAAGTTTCAGATGTTTGTCCTTTTTGAGGAATTATTTTATACAATATGGGCATCAGGGAATAATATGGTAGTACAGGAAGCACCAAAAACACCTGAACACCAGAACTCGGAGAGGACAAGTCGGACAGAGACGCGCTCCAGCCTCCGTGCTTCTCCCTGCTCGACGGGCACGTGGCTGTGCGTTGTCAGCTCCCGTTTCCCAGGTCCGTTTCCACAAGCTCCATGTTACCTGTGCTGCAGGAGCCCCGGATGCTCCGTGCACAGCCCAGGACCTGCCTGCTGCTGGACTCAGCGCAAAGTCGGGAGGAAAAGGCCGTTTCTGCCACGCTCTGGCGGCAGCTCCGCACAGCCCAGAGGCAGGACTGGCCTTGGCGCACGGAGCACGATGCCACCCACCTGCAAGGCCGCCTACCCTGCAACGTTCCCTTGCTTTTACCGACTGCTCCTGAAACTTGTGGCAAGGGATTCAGCGCTGTGCAGACAAGCATGTCCTGAAGCATGGGAGAGGAAGGATGAACTAAGGAATACGCAGATTTTGCCCAATTAGCACAAAGCTAATTCCAAATCTTCTAATTTCTATCAGCACAAAATTAACTAAAGACTCCTGCCTGTAATTTTTTTCTCCCTCATTCCATCCATGTCAAATGCACCACTTTCCCACAGCAAAGACACAGATCTCCCTTCCCCAAAAACAGAGCAGCCAAAATAGAGGAGGAATCAGCCCAGGAGCAAGGTAGAGCAGCACAGAGGTGCTCCAGCACCGCTTATATCACACAGACAGGCTGTTCCTCAGGGCTGCGTGGTTTAAAATCCCTTTTTGGAACATTAAGGTCCAAGCTCTGCCCAGACATCCCGGATCTGTCCCCGCTCAGGCTCCGGGCATGGCCCGTGCGGTGCCAGACGCGCAGGGACACGGTGGCGGCAGGTGGCAGCAGACGCCAGCCTTGCTGCGGCAGCCCCGTCAACCCGCTCATGCCGAAAACACAGGCCAGTCTCTTAAAAGCCACCTATTCCTCCCATTTCCCACCCAGCAGCACTGTAGGCCAGGCAGTTCCTGCAACACTTTTTTCTTCACCTCGCTTTAGGGAGAACATACAGAA